TGTGCTGGGTCACCACTGGTGTTACCCCCTGGCAGTGACATCGGGGCTGAGTGGGAGACAGCAAAAGATGTGAAGGGAATACATTGCACTCCTGCAATCCACAGCTCACAGAACTGCCTCCAGGGACTGTTTATCCTGATGTAACTGAGTCCTTTGGTCTAAATCTATTACAAAGCCTTACTACCCCTGATCTTCCTTGTTTCAGTATCAGGAGAATGAGGAGGTGAGCTGATACCCTGAAGGCACCTAATAACTTCTCACAGTTACAAGTGCAAAGTGGGCTTGCACAGATTTATCTACCTGTGTACGACTTCAGTTGACATTAAGTAATAATTGTTAGGCTTCTGGTGAGCATTTAAAATGTGTTCAAACTGCTTTGTTACGCACCTGACCACCTTTCTACAGCTGGTGCATAGAGCTGCTTTCCCCAGAATAGCCTGCAGCAGAGTAGGTGTCCTTCCTACAAACCGAAGTTATCTGGTCAAACATACTTTTGCCCTTCAAATGTTCTTTTAGTATGTATTTAGTTATGCATTTTTTAAATAATACACTTGCAAAACAATACCAGTTAGAATCCATCTGGATAAACACTAAGGAGGTTGCTTTTATTAGTGTATTGTCTCATCTCTCACATGTATTTTACCAAAGTTTGCATTCCTCCTTATTGCAGTATTGTACTTAAAATATTTATCTGCTCTTGTTACAACATTATCCTTTAGTTTAAGCAGCTCTTCACCCCTTTGGCATCTATACTTCAACAAGGCTCAAATCCCACCCTTATTTAGGATGTGTCAGCCATCAGCAGATAAAGCTGGAACTATTTTAGAAGTTATTGCAGATATCCTTTTTTCTGTCATTATTTAAGGTTAGTTCCTTTACCACAGTGTGCACAACGAACCACCAGAGTTCTCTTCATCCACTTCGAAGAAAAATCATCCAGTTTATATTTTAAATAATCTCTACCTGGAAATTTAAGTTAAATAGATGACTTGTGTAGAGGTAGATGATGACATTATCCTTTCCACTGGCTCAGCTGAAAGAGCTGTATCATCCAACAAGGCAGGAAATATGGTTGCAGTAATTTCTTAAACCACCTCAATGACTCTTTCAAGAGAACATCTCCCCAGAGCAATAATTTCTTATCTTCCTGCTCTTTGTCAGAGCCATTTTCTGCACCTCTGTCAGCTTGAATTGACTTTTTTGAATAGTAAGAGACTGCTAAGTAATAATCCAGATGCAGTCTCAATAGCATCCTGCACAATGGCTTCTCTGGTAAAATTACCTATCTTGGAAAGACCGAGAGAAATAAAAACTGAAATACTGCACATATTCTATATATTTAATTCTCTCTATATAGTTCTACATACATATAAAACCTACATAGAATATGTATGTGTTCTATAAACAGTCCTATGTATATATGTAGATAACTACGTGTATAAATTAAAGAATCTAATCCTGTAATTCACTTAAGCACATGTTTGTAAGTTTAAGGAATGACAAATCCCAGTGATAGAGATGAGTGTATATTCTAAGCTTAAAAGATTGTTGTTGAACTGGAGCTATGGATAAGAAAACTTAAAGGAATATTAATCATTATTTGTACTGAAAATCAGTTTGACAAAAAAAGTATTAATATAAAATATCTGACCATAAACACAAGGAGAAAGGATTCTCTCCAGCTCTGTTATACACAAGTTTCAAACCTCAGTCTGCTGCCTGCTTTCTCTTTTTGAATATATTTAATATGTAGGAAACTCATAGTCAGAATAAGATAAAAAGACATGACAGCTTAGTATAAATTAAGAAGCATTTAAAGTTGTGCAGAAATGCATATTCAGTTAACAACATCAGTGAAAATTGTGGTTGATGAAAGATGTAAACCAAAACAAAATTCTCATGCTACACAACCAGGTAAATACTTAGGATACAGGAATTCTCACTCTAGCAACTGCTACTTAAGAGTTTTCACCACTTGAATGAAAATAAAAGATCACACTTACTAAATTTAAGCAATTTTGCTGGGAAGTAGAGACTTCCTGTAGGAATATATGGACACTGATAGGCCTGAGAGACTGGACAGAACTGTTCAACAGTCTTTTGTAATAGTTTTTAATCAGCAGGTTTAAGAGTCCAGGATTCTGTATTACTTACTTCAGGTCAGTCCTGCAAAAACAGAGCATTATAGTCGACCATTTCAATCAGTGCAGATATTCTTAATAACTTTAAATTATTAAAGCTATACAGATACATATTTTTTTTGGTTTTTACCTTATGGTAACAATGGTGCCACCTTGGATTAATAAACAGAATTATTAGTGGGTGTTTTGTCTGAATTCCAGATTAGAAGCCCAATGAGACAGTAGTGGTGGTACCACTCAGTTAAGAAGCAGGGTTTTGGAAGCAAGGCTGCAACTACTGAAGTAGCTATTTTTTGGTTTGCTTTAATTTCATCTGGAATGGTTCCCTGAGCTAGCTCTCTTCATAATTACTCAAATGCTAGGACCAGAAAATGAGTGGAAGGGGGGGTGGATCAGGGAGAGTGAGACTCTGCTCTTTGAGGGAATATGGATTTATGTTGGGTTGAAGTGACCCTGGAGTGACTGCAGCCTGAACCATCAATGCTCCTACAGAATCACTACAGTGAAAACTACTTTTTTAAAGACTGATCTCTCATTTCAGGATTCTTGCTCAACTCAAAGCCAGATTTCAGATTTGCTCAGTAGTAATCCATAGAAGATGCAAATTCTGAACATCATTAAGAACTGCTTCCAAAGTACTTGATTTCAGTTCCCACATAGGCTGTCCAAATGTGGACTTTCTGGCACTCTTGCAGGTTTTTTTTCTTTTTTGTGTGTGTGTGGTTTTTTTTGTTTTTGTTTTTTTTTTTTTTTTTTCCTGATACGTGGCCTATCTGTATGTGGAGGAATCTGCCCCAACAGATTCCATGGTTTCAAGAGCTAGAAAAAAGTGTATCACTCTGTTGGGAAGCATATGCCTTGACACCACAGTTTAAAATATACCTATTATTCAAATTAGTTTTTTTTTAACAAGAGAAGTGGACTGAATTAGTAACACTACAGCTTTTGTCCATATGTATGCAAATCCAGTAACATAAAAATTAATTTCATATTATTATTATGCTTTGGCAAAACTGTGATAAATAACAGGCTGTTTAAAAAACTAAGACCATACACAAACTGTATATATATAACATAAATCAGAATCAGTTGCATCTTTTTTTTCCTTCTCTTTTCCTAATTCCATTCAGGATGGTTTTGGTCCATTAATTTACAATATGTCTCTGTAAATCTGAAATTCTGTTCAGGCCAAGCTATGATGATTGTGCGTGCACACAAATATATTCAAAAAACTGACTGTTAAAAAGAAATCATGCCTGATTCATACAAGCTTTACTTATTTAACATTTCACCCAGCTCAGGCTATGGTGGGTGAGTATCACTTTAGCCTTCATAATGCAGTATGCAGTTGTCATATTTATCCCTCTAATAAAATGTGCAATGTTTATGCTTAATATAACTTTAGCTGTAATTTGAATGTATTGTTGTGAATTTTTAGAGTGCCATCTGCAAAGCCTGACTGGAGCAGAAACTCCACAGCCATGCCTTTAAGCCGTATTCTATATTAAGTCATGTGCACAATTTCATGATAACTTTCTTTGAGTATCTTTTCTATTTGTAACATTTATTTTCCAGGTGTGAAGAGAGGATGGATGCAATGTCTCCAGACCCCTTGTTGTGGATGGAGTGATGTGCTTCCTTCATAAGAGAGAAGTAGCAATATGTTTATTGATATAAAACAGTGATTTAACTAAGTGTGATAGTAAATGTGACAGTTGATGGCAAGGTTAACTTGGTATTTACTGGATAGAGGGCAGGGTCAGACAAAACTGTCAGTGAGACCCTCCTGTTGAATCACAAGGTTCAGAACGGACCCCCTTGCTTTCTAAACTCCTCGTCAGAGAGGACTCTAGGTGCGGCTGGGTCCACTCCTAGTCCCAGACTTGGTCAACGGTTTATGTCTAAAGGATTATATGTGTGCACTTAATCCCTCAGCCAAGATTTCAAAGCATGCTTATTCCATTCACTTTCTGAGTATCTGACATGATAAGGATTTCCATGAACCTCAAGGAATAACGCTGACAGGCATCCCTACTCAAGGGGAGATCCTTGTGTGCAGCCCACTGCTCTGCAGGAAAGCTCAGTGGGCCCTGGTCTGTCCGCTATTTATGGAGTAAGATGATTGACTTACAGTCATATTTGCATACCAGCTGTATTTTGGTTGGTGCATGCTCAGCTAGTCCTCAGCTGTTGAGCAAGATTTATGGCCCTTATCTGTTGTGGTGTTGTATGTCCAGTTTAAACCAGATGCAGCCACCATGACCACCGCTAGTGGCTATTGCTTTAAGCAGAAAGGAGGGGGGAGGCACACCACCACACCCCTCCTGTGACCTATATGCTGTCCCCTCAGAGGATGCACCTTGAGGCTGACCCTCAACTCTGCACAACCAGATACTTGAACCACCACTCACTCATGTATCTGTGTGCCTGTAACAGAGGTGGCTGGAGTTAAACTAACAAATACCACAACCACAAATACCACAACCACGTACGCACTCACCACTTCCTTCTGACTCTACACCCCAGGTCTAGGCCTGGTCCCCCAACACCAGCACCTCTCTCCTCCCCAGTGACACCCTCCTCTCCTTGGCGAACTGCTGCCAAGCAGCTTCTAATACATGGCTCCAAAGCCACCTCTAGTCCAGCTACATGGTTCTCCCTATGGGATAAGCCTTATGCGTGCAACTCCCTGACCGCTACCCCGCCACCGAGCAGCTGCCGCCGCCTCCTCACAACCGCCCCGCCCCTCCAGCCCTTTCCCGCGCTGCCAGGCGCAGACTAAGGGCAGCAGCTTCACGTCGCTATGGCGCATGCGCGCGGGCTCTGCGCCTGCGCACTGAGCGGGGCAGGGGGGCTGTGCGCATGTGCAGAAAGCAGCCGCGGGAGCCGGCGCGCCGGCGGTGCGAGTGTGGTAGCCGGGGTGAGCCAGCGGCGGAGCGGAGCGGAGCGGTGGGACCCGGCCGGTTCGGTGGGTGGCCGGTGTCTGGCGCTTGGGGGGCGGGGAGTGGGGTGAAAGGGCAGACCGGTTTTTTGATAGCTGCATTACTTTGATTTCTCATATTTACTATGTCATTGACTTGTTTATTTTTCAGGTTGCTTCAGACTTACAGTTCCATGATATTTAACTGTAGTCCTTGTTAGGTGTGATATGATTACTTACAAATATGTGTGATTTGAAGTATTCAATTTCATTATACTGGATTACTTCTGTTATTAGGGTTATCCTTTCTCTCATTATTTCCACTTGTTTTTCTGCTGATGATTCCACAATCCCAATTTTTACTTCAGAAAACACTGAAGGTGAAGTGTAAAAAATAAAAGAAAAAATATTTTCTCAAATGTATTTATGGAAATAGTTAATAGGGGTTGATCCCAAAACGAACTCTATTAAGTATTTCAGTAACTACATTTGTATTTGTGAACCTCCTTGTAGCCCAGTAGCTCCCCTGTCAGTGCAACCCAATATTGCTTTTTTACTTCTGTTTTCAGTTTCCTATGCTATTTCTGATCTCCTTATGATAACCTAATATTTTTTCATGTGGTATTGTACTTATGCCCAGCATAACATATTTGGCAGTAAATATTTATGTTTTAAATCTCTTTGGAGTGCTTTGTTTATTATCTTTGTCTTGATAACTTGCAGATATATCTTTATTGTGCTATCTAAATTTCTAAACTTTATTTTTGGATGTCAAGTTATGTTACATTTGATTAAGTTATGTTGCATTTGAAGTTAGAATTCAGGTCATGAGGTTACTTCAGTTCTCTCTGCATGTTGTTGTTAACCTACAGACAAACGTACTGTCATTCCAGCAGCTCTAGAAGCTGCAGACAAAGTAGTATCTTTGAGATGTTTTTCAGTGTTCTGTCACTAAAATCCAGCCTTTCCAGCGTTTGATAATCAAGACTCTTCATCTTTCTTGATTAGTCCTTGTTTAAAAGGTAGACAGTAGTTAATATTACAGTTTTATCAAACTGGTTTGGGCTCCTACTATTTTTAAGAAGTATTTTCAGTCTTTACCATCAGGGAGGTGATGATCTGTGACTATTCTACTTTCCTCATTTTATT